TGTCTAAAAGATCATAGTCGCCTCGAAACGGTTGCCTCAGATATTGTTGCCTCAAAACAAATGATCTAAGACATTAGGGTTACCGCTAAAGCGTCCTAACATTGCTTTGGTGACCGTAAGTCCCTTATTCAAATTGACCCTCAAACTTCAACGACGGTTCTACCTACTCATCAATAGTGGGATAGCATTGTCTAAAGGAAGATAGCATAGAACGATTCCTTTTTCGAGTAGGTAGATGGTTCTTAAGTACTTGCTCTTTCAAAAAACAAAATCTTTTTCACACTTACACCTTTCAAACAAAAACTTCTTCAAACCCACAAACACAAAGAAAAGCAATTTTGAAAACAATATGAGCAAGTACCTAAGAGCTCGTGGATAACTACAGATAGAAAGGGTGCTAACACCTTCCCTTTCTATAATCTACCCCCCGAACCCAAGAAAAATCTCAAAAAAGGAATTTTTCTGTGCTTTTTTCCTTTCCTTGTTGGATAAAATAAAAGTCGGTGGCGACTCTTGCTTACCGCGGCATTTTGCGAACACAAACGCAAAACGCAAACCAGCATTCCAAAAAACAGTCAGTTCTCTCCCACCGTATCACAACTGGCTTTAGGAAGTGACTTGAGGGTACCCCGACTCAATCTTCAGCCATTTTGTTTTGGCAAAGGATTATTGATGACATTAGGACCTGCCTCTTTGAAAGTGAGAATATTTTCTTTCAACAATTCTTACACTCTGTTTTTCAATGCATAATAGCTCTCTAAATCATGACCGACAGATCCCTGATGAAATTTACAATGAAGGTCAGATCTGAACCCAGTTGGAGGAGGATTTTAAGGAATTAGAGGCCTAGTTGTAATCAAGCCCTTCTGCACCATTGCAGGATACAATTCAGTGTATGTCATAGGGATGGGATCAAACTGAGCCCTATTTCGATTCTGATTCTGCACAATATTTTGTTGTTGAGGAACCTGAACTGGTTGAGCATTAACCGCAAGAGTAACATCCGCTACTTGTGGTTGATCAATGTATTAAGGCCTACGGCGAGGTCCTCTTCTCTTAGTCAAGACAACATTGGCTTCTACCTCTTTCTTCTTCTGAAAGTTCCCAAGGTATTTCTTAGCACCATTAGAAGATTCAGCAGCTTTAGACACTTTACCATTCTTAATTCCTTCTTCTAATATTTGGCTGATAGTCACCAGGTCTGTGAAGCTGGAGGACACACTACCAATCATCTTCTCCCAAAAGAAAGGGGACAAAGTATCCATGAACAAACCAGTTAACTCTTTCTCTGCCAGAGGTAGTTCAAATTGAGATGCCAATTCTCTCCATCATTGAGAATATTCCTTGAAAGATTCTTTCTCATTCTGAAACATATTTTGCAGTTGGCGGCGATCAGGTGCCATGTCAAGGTTGTATTTGTATTGCTTTATGAAAGCATCAACAAGATCTTGGAAGCATTGGATACAACCTTTCTCAAGTCCCATATACCATTTCAGTGAAGCTCCACTCAGACTATCTTGGAAACAATGGATAAGCAGCTTGTCATTCTTTGTTTAAGCAGACATCTTTCGAAAGTACATCACCAAGTGGCTTCTTGGACAAGTATGCCCCTTATATTTCTCAAACTCGGGAGTCTTGAACTTTGCAGGCATAACCAGATCAGAAACTAGGCACATATTTTCAGTAGCAATACCAAAGACATCATTACCTTCCATAGCTCGGAGTCTCTTCTCTAAAGTCTGATATTGTTCTTTGAACTCTTCAAACTCACCAAAGTCCCCCTGACTCATACTTCGAGGACTAGCAGCATGGTACTCAAAGAGAGGGTTCCCAAAAGCAGCTTGTGCAGCAGGTTGGCGAGAAGTAGTATGAATGATTGGTTGAGGTTCAGTGAAAACTGGAGCTTGAAAGACTGGTCGGGAAGACTGGCCAACCATTAAAGTAATTGCAACAGGCGGAGAGTAATTATGAGGTAACCCAAACTCTGGCCATGTAGTAGATGTATGCTGGATAGTTTGAGTGTCAACAACAGCAGTTGGGATTTCAGATATCAAAGTCCTTTGAGGTGGCTCTCCTCTGGAAATCAGGACTTGCATCATCTCAGTAAGTTTGGCCATGCCTGACTTCAACTCGTTGATTTCCATTATGACTTCCATGTTGTGTTGTTCTTGGTTTTCCATTCTCAATCTGACAGCAGCTCTAGTCCCGTAGTTGTGTTGAGGAATCAGCTTGACGGTAGATGATTAACTGGAAGAAAGAAGCAACTGGGAATAAGATCTTGAACAACCTGGATGTATGCAGAATGATGCAGAGGATGCAAATGATATGCAATGTTATGCAATGCACTGTGCAGTAACAAGATCACATGGTTCAGAGTCACGAGCCTGGAGTAAAAGGTACAAACCCATAAGGTATGGATTGACGGTTATCACCTGGCGAACAAGGTTCTAAGAGGTTCCCGGAGTCTACATCCTTCCTTCGGATATTACCAACGTCCCGATTAACTCGGTAATTAGTAATACTCTCAAGAAAAACTCGTCCAAGCATAGTATCGCGTGATAACTACTTCCGGATTACTCCGTCATAGCTTCCGCACTACACCTAAAAGGCTAAGATGGGTTAGGTAATCTACAGTCCTTAGTTTCAGCAGGCTCCCAGGTCAAAAGTAGTATGTCTTCCCGATTACTCGGTAAACGACACTACAGTCAAAGGGGCCTCCACTGAGTGGGGGATCTCATGTCTCCTTTTTTGGGATTACTCCCTCAAAGTTAACATACTATACCGCCTGTCCTATCTTAAGTGTTTCCAAAGTCCGGGTAGAGGACTTATAAGAAATCATCAAGCCCCTGAAAACCAGGAAAATCCAGACAAACATATATACAACATAATGGGAAGTAATAATCAGCAAGTAAAACAATATATACACACTCATAGAAGAGAAACAAACAAAGCTAAGATTAACCCACTAAGGAATGAACCAGCAATAGGTTAATCTGTCCCTAGTGAAGTCGCCACTTTTCTGTACTCAATTGCGACAGTGATGATATATAAAGAAATATAGCGGTAAAGATTTGAGATTAAGCCATCAATTGACTTATCTCAAAATAATGAAGTCGCCACCGCACTTTATTGTTTCCAAAGGGAAATGGGAAAAAAAGCGAACAAAACCCACAATGAAATAAAAGATCAGAGATCGAGGTACGGGGGTCGGTTATACAAAGGGAAGGTATTAGCATCCTAAGCATTTACGGTATTCCGCATGATCCACTTTGTTTGGTTTCTTTTAAAAGGAGTGTTATGTAAAGGTTTACTTGCTAAAGGGAAAGAATGAATGTTTATTTGAAAACAAAATAAAATGAAATGTTTTTTTATTATTTTTGTTGCTCGCCTTGGGTCGTAAGACTTAGTGCCTACGTACTCCCTCGTACAATGGGAAAGTCAGAGCACCGTAGTTCAGCTAGAAAAGACTTGTCTGTTGATTGATTTTAAACAAGGAGACAAGTCATCATTGTTAGGAGAGAAATCTCGACTAACCCCCACAAGGTGTGGGAAAGATGGACCATGTGTCAGCAAGAGTGAGGGTTTGAACGCCTCTAGTACTCAAGTGGAAAAGTCGACACCTTTATAACCATGGGGATAGGAGAATGTTGCTCGACTATCAATGAATCATGTATCATCTTGAAAAAATAGTTTTGGAGGATAAAAGTGCTCGGGCGCACAAAAGAGTTTGAATGAGTTGAAGCATTTTTGTTAGTTTGTGAAAAATGTCAAAGTATGATTAAATGAATTGAAGTTTGTTTAAAGAAAATAATTTTTAAAAGAAAAAGGCACTCGACAAGGTCGAGGTTTATTATGAAAGTGGTTCGAGTTTATAAAAAAAGAAGATTTTGAAAAAGATGAGAAAGTTTTGAAAATTAAAGGATGGGAGAAAAGAAGACAGTATGTACAGGAGGGTAAACGATACGGTAAAGCGAATCCGACCGGATAAGAAACCAGTACTTGACACGATGAAGTCAATATTGTATTCTCATCCCTTTGGGTTTAAAGCCACAGACAGAAAAAATAAGGTAAGAGTATACCAAACCTCAGGTGAAAATAAATCACAAGTCGACAGCATCAGAAAACCAGATGTAAGATAATACTCCCATCAGCGAATAAAGCATAATGAATCACAAGCGAGAAGTTCAACACGTGAAAATAAATCATGGAAAAAAGAAATCATTGATGACACTCACGGTACCGGATAAGGCTCAAGATATCGAATAAAGCTCACTGTATAAAATTCCCTGCATCACATGAAATATACAGACAAAACTAACAGCACAGGAAAGCCTATGTGTGTCCATACAACTTTCAGAAGTTATTTGGAATTAAAATTAAAATCGAAATGCGATGAAAATAATATTTACATAACCTGAATTTATTTACAAATGAAGTGAATAAAATATACAGTCAAAATATTATGTACATGTATATATTTACAGTACCAAATATTAAATCAAAATAATGAAATAAAATAAAGAGGTAAAGGGAGAAGTGTAGGAATTATTGATGCGTTATGTGAGAATGGCTACTTGAAACAATTTTCGAAAATCTTCACAGTAAACAAACTCGTTAGTAGCATAAGAAATATAAAAATTAAAATGAATGAAATTGCAACAATTAAAATATGTGTTTAGAAAGTATAAAATCAAAAATGAAATTGTATGAATGCACATGAACAAATGAATATTTACACATATGAAAAATCAAGAATTATTATGTAATTCATTCCGATTCCGATACATGAAAAATCAAACTTAAATATGCAAATTAAAAGTTGGACATCGTAAAATCTCATGAAAGATCAATTTCCATGCTTATGTACAAACACCGATATTAACCAACAAATTTTGTGAATCAAATACAAATTGAAACATTATCAAGAATCATCTTCAAATGGCTTAAACAACAAGACGGCATCAACACCGACAATTTAATCCACTCATGCCATTTTCATATTAAGTCCAAAAGTGATTAAAAATGAGTTTTGAATCAAAATTTCGGCAAGGTATAAATTCGGACAGAAACTTGATAATATGTCGGTGCTCTACGAAATTCAACTCAAACGAATGTTCAACGCAAACGGAAAACATCCATATCAACACCAAAGTTTCATCATACGATCTCAATGTGTTCATGATATTATTCAATTCAAAATCGAACATGGAAAATTGACTTCAACTCAAGAAATATTCAGTTAAACCAAATTTCGGGCAACCACTATAACTATGCATTAAACTCTATAATTCCAATTGAAACAAATTTCTAAACGAATGAGAAACAAATTAATTATCAAAACTAAATTTAAATTCTCCCAAAATTGACACAAAAAATGAACTAAAAATATAAACAATACACATTTCAACACAATTGTTTCAAAAAACTCTATCATTCAAATCACATTAATTTCAATTCAGCAATATTAATTAGAAAAAATAAAATAAAAGAAATGAGGGGTGTAAGCATGGAAATAGTGGTGCAAGAGTAGTAAAATGAAAATGGGCTTGTAAGTAGAAGTTAGGGCCCAGTAGCCCAATCCTAATTAAAGCTTGATTCACTAATAATTATAACAACAATATTGAGAAAAAAAATACACTAATAATTATAACAATAATATTAAAAAGAAAAAGAAAAAGAATAAACTAATGATAAAACAAAAAGGTGAAGCCAGTGAAATAGAGGGAGTATACGCACGCGGAAGGAGGAATTGGATGGAGGTGGTTAGCGGAAACGTTGTGGTGTTGTATGCTGTGAATAGCTTGCGGCGAAGGTTGAGATGAATCATGGATGAATAGTGGAGAGGAGTGGTGAGAGGTTACTGTGTTGTAATTATTTTTGTGTGCTTTTGTGTGTTTGGAAGAGAGAAGAGGGTTGCTCGCAATTGAAGGGGGATGGCGTTGGAATGAGAGGAGAGAATTGAAGTGAGGGAATAGAAAGCTAAAGAGAGAAAGAGATTACTACTTTTTGTTGTGTGTTTAAACAAAGAGTAATAAGCTCTTAAATAGAAAAAAAATGAGAAAATTGTGATTTCAAATTTAATCCAATCCGTTCAATATTTCCAATCTGTATTAATCTACAATTATTGCTATCAACCAATAAGAAGAAAAAAAGTGTAATTAATAATTTTTTATGACAAAAACGCCGTTAAATGATAAAAATGAAATAAAAAACTGAAAGTATTTAAATTAATTCAATTTAAAATAATTTTTTTGAATTTTTTCTGAATAAAAAATAAAGACCTAAAATGACTGAAAATGATAAAAAACGAACGAAAATTTATCCGAAAAAATAAAATGAACACATTAAAATAAACTACATGTCACAAATATTAAAGAAAAAATATTCAAAAAGTCAAAATCTAAATAAAATGATAATAAAACTATCAGGCTAAACAGACGTTTTACGGTTAAAAACGAGACTTCAAACTGTACCGAAAAAATAAAGCGAGCATACCGTCATAATCTACGCGAGATGCAGATTCATAAAATGATCGGTAAAAGGTGAAAACTTGAAATATTTTTCTCGCTAATTTTTTGCACAGTGTCGAATCGCTTTTAACAGTTTGTCTGTAAAACCGAAATATTTTCATTATCGATATATAAACAACTTGGAGCAATGTAAGAAATGAGTAAACAGATAAAAATGCATGAAGTGAAATGCTGGGTATTTTTCCACTACAGAATAATGCAAATGTCGATTTAAACTAACTTTTGGTCAACTTAAACACGATTAAATGATGCAAATGTAATGAATGAAGCCATTTATTAATGATTGTGACCAAATGACAAAATATGGTATGAATGTGGGTCTGAAAAAATTAGGGGCAAAATTTACGGTGCAACAGCTGCCCCTATTTAATTATCTTTTAGCCAGATAGGCGGAAAGTAATTAAATACAAACAGACCTGAATTTCGTCCCTGATGCGATGAGATGATAACATATGTTATGAATGAATGCATGGATTCTTTTTTGACGTATATTTTTTGAATAATGTATGAGATGAGACCGACTCTGGGAATATGGAAAGACTCGAAACTGGAAATTTATGGTAGTTCAGATGAAGTGACGTGGAAAGACACGCTAGGGAAAAAATAAGACATTTCTGAATATCTGTCAGGGTGACAAAGGGTAACCAGCAATACTTGGAAAAAAGATAAAAACCTGAGAAGGCAAGCAGTGACATCAAAGAATGGCATTGAATGGGGCGAGCAACTCTCTGGAAAAGACAATCAGAAGCGTCTAGAAGAACATTAGATGTGGGATAAGACCAAATCTGAAGCTACATCAGAGTCGTCTAGGAAAGACACTGGACAGAAAATAAACATGACATCTAATACTGGCTTTGGACGAAGGGAAAACTCAACGTCTAATAATGGCTTTAGACGAGAGAAAGAAAAAAAACACAACATCCAATAATGGCTTTGGATGGAAACAAAAGATCCTGACATTCAATATTGGCTTTGAATGAAAGAAAAGCTCAACGTCTAATAATGGCTTTAGATGAGAGAAAAGATCATAACATCCAATACTGGATTTGGATGAATGGAAAACTCAAGGCGTCCAATACTGGATTTGGACGGAAGAAAAGGTAACAACATCCAATACTGGCTTTGGATGGAAACAGAAGATCCAGACATTCAATACTGGCTTTGAATGAAAGAAAAGCTCAACGCCTAATAATGGCTTTAGACGATAGAAAAGATCACAACATCCAATACTGGCTTTGGATGAATGGAAAACTCAAGGCATCCAATACTTGCTTTGGACGGCACAAAAGGTAACAACATCTAATACTAGCTTTGGATGGAAAAAGAGATCTTGACATTCAATACTGGCTTTGAATGAAGGGAGAAAAAACATTGCGTCCAATACTGGCTTTGAACGACAACAAAGATAACAACATCCAATATTGGCTTTGGATGGAAACAAGAGAGACCACATATCCAAGATTAGCATTGGACGGAAGAGAGAAACAACTCATCCAAGATTAGCATTGGACGAAAGAGAGACAGCTGAACTGACGTTTACTTTGGTAGATGCTAAGTAAGTTGGACTTTGATCTCAAGGTGACATGTCAACTACAACAAGACCTTGGAAAATGCAAATGAGGATGAAACACTCTTGTTATGCATTATGTATGAATTTTGTTATGCATGATATGTGAATGATCTATGCATGTAATGCTGACGTTTACGACAACAAAGTTTAACACTTTTATGGATGTAAGATTGGAAATTTGATTCCTCAACGTGGAGAACCCTGCCAAATTTGATTGGAAAGAAAATGTTTTGAACCCAAATTTGTCACACTTGTAAACTGTATTGAACTGATGATCTTCCGAGGAAAGACATGGAGAGCTGCTTGGGGATTTGTCCCAGATTAGCTGACTGTTTGAGGATAAACTGATCACGGCTTCAGTCGAAAGTTGCTGGAAATGAGCTGATCATGGCTTCAGCTCTGAAATGATTGTTGAAGATAAACTGATCATGGCTTCAGTTCTGAAATGACTATTGGAATAAACTGATCATGGCTTCAGTTCTTGAAATGACTGTCGGAGATAAACTGATCATGGCTTCAACTTTGAAATGATTTTCTGGCTAACCAAATTTGAGAAAACTTGCACTAAGCAACAAATCTTGAATTGATTCACAACTGGATCTGGAAGATACTTGCCCCTGATAGGGTCACTGACCAAGTTTCCCAACTGTTTGAAATTCCTTGATGAGGAAAGCTTGTTTGCAAGCAAAATTGTTTATTCAAACATGGTAATTTTAATGCAAAGTTCATGCAAAAGTTTTGAATCCAAAATCATTTTTGAAATGATGTTATTGATGTATAGAAAATGCATCACTGGTTAAAACGCAGTGGTTTATACTTTTAAAGTGAAAACAAAGGTATGAAACCAAAACAAATGATTCGCAAAAGATCATAGGAGTCAGTTTACGCAACCTTGTTGTAGTATGCTTTCAAAAGAAACCTGGCTACAATTAGGTCTTTTGAGGGTTGTAACGTGGTCTGGTTCACGGTTTAAGAAATAAAGGATAAAGGCTCAAAGTTTATTTGTACCCAACCCAATCTTCGTGATGTTCTTCAGCCCTACGTTCAGTTAATTCAGAATATGCATTCAGGTTCCAATTCGTTCAATATTTTCAATTTGTATTAATCCACAACTATTGCTATCAACCAATAAGAAAAAAGCAAAGTGTAATTAATATTTTTTTATGACAAAAACACCCTTAAATGATAAAAGTGAAATAAAAAACTGAAAGTATTTAAATTAATTCAATTTAAAATAATTTTTTTGAATTTTTTCTAAATAAAAAACAAAGACCTAAAATGACTGAAAATGATAAAAAACGAACGAAAATTTATCCGAAAAAATAAAATGAACACATTAAAATAAACTACATGTCACAAATATTAAGGAAAAAATATTCAAAAAGTCAAAATCTAAATAAAATGATAATAAAAATATCAGGCTAAACAGACGTTTTACGGTTAAAAACGAGACTTCAAACTATACCGAAAAATAAAGCGAGCATACCGTCATAATCTACGCGAGATGCAGATTCATAAAATGTATGGTAAAAGGTGAAAACTTGAAATATTTTTCTCGCTAATTTTTCGCACAGTGTCGAATCGCTTTTAACAGTTTGTCTGTAAAACCGAAATATTTTCATTATCGACATATAAACAACTTGGAGCAATGTAAGAAATGAGTAGACAGATAAAATGCATGAAGTGAAATGTCGGGTATTTTTCCACTACAGAATGATGCAAATGTCGATTTAAACTGACTTTTGGTCAACTTAAACACGATTAAATGATGCAAATGTAATGAATGAAGCCATTTATTAATGATTGTGACCAAATGACAAAATATGGTATGAATGTGCGACTGAAAAAATTAGGGGCTAAATTTAGGGTGCAACAGGTACCATTATCTATAATGATTCTCTCTGAAATACCATATCGATAGATAATATTCTGTTTGATGAATCGGGCCACAACGTTCTTGGTAACAGAAGCAAATGAAGTTGCCTCGACCCACTTCGTGAAGTAATTAATGGCAACCAGGATGAAGTGATGTCTATTGGAAGCTGTAGGTATGATCTCTCCAATCATGTCAATACCCCACATTATGAATGGCCAAGGAGCAGTCGGGACGTTTAGAGGAACCAGAGGCACATGCACTTTGTCAGCATAGATCTGGCACTTGTGACAAGTTCGTGAATGCTGATAATAATCTACTTCCATGGTGGACCAATAGTATCCTACCCGTAGGATCTTTTTAGCCATCGTGTGCCCACTAGAATCGGTGCCAAAGGTACCTTCGTGTAAATTACCCATGATCTTTTCTTCCTCACTCTTGTCTACGCATCGAAGCAAAGTAGAGTCGTGGTTGCGCTTATAGAGAATTTCGTTGCTGAGGAAGAATTTAGCAGAGAACCTCCTCAGGAATTTCTTATCATTGACTAAAGCTCCCTCTGGATATTCTTGGGCCTCGTGATATCTCTTAATTTTATGGAACCAGGGTTTATCCACTAGTTCTTCAGTATCAATCTCATGACAATAAGTTGGTTCGTCCATCCTCTCGATAGTGATCTGAGGAGCCTCATTATCCCACCTGATTTTGAACATGGATAACATAGTGGCTAGCACGTCCGCTAGTTGATTTTCTTCTCGTGGGAAATGCTCAAAGGTAATTTCCTCAAAATGTGGGATCAGTGTCAACACATGTTCTTTGTAAGGAATAAGATTAGGATGCTTCATATCACATTCTCC